AGGCCATCGCTAGTAGGTTGGAGGCCATTGCTACTAGGGTGGAGGCCGACGCCACTGGGGTGGAGGCCATCGCTCTTAGATTATGTTTGACTTGGACATGAGGAAGACATTTTTGACAAAAAGAACACATGAGAACACTGACGGCCGCTGTTTCTCAGCACCCCTTGGGGCATTTGGGTGTCCGTGTGTTCGCCTGCATCCTTTGGGGGCCATGCGGGTAGCAGATGCTTTATTTCGGAGGGATATGCTCGGGCCCAGCTTCCTGAACCTGATGACCTCGTGGACGGGCTTGCTTTTGATCGAGAAAGTGGTCATGGAATTCCTCATGCCTTTGATGATTCCGAGTATTGAGGCCTTTGAATCCTTCATGGGACGGCGCTTGGCTGTCGCTATCCTGGCCACTATGAATTCCACCGTCTCCTTTTGGGGCTTTGGACTCCTTTTTGCCCTCCCGGCGCTCTTCAAAGTGAGACGTTGGAAGATCCAGGCAAACAAAGACCTGGACACGAACATGCTCTTTGAGTCACTGCCCCTGATTGCATGCAACTTCACCATGCAGGTTTTTGTAGGGCTGCCGGCGATGTGGTTTGGACTACCACAATCTTCCTATGACTGGCATAGGTTGCCAACGACAGACATTTTGGCAAGAGATGTCTTTGTCTGGCTATTGGTAGAAGAGGTTTGCTTCTTTTATGTGCACAAGTGGCTCCATGAGAACAAAGAGATGTACGCGGCTGTGCATAAGATTCACCACACCTGGACTGCTCCGATATCTCTTGTGGCCATTTATTGTCATCCCTTCGAGCACTTGGTGTCCAACATCTTGCCGGTCATGTTGGGTCCAATGATTTGTGGGTCGCATGTTGCAGCTGTGGGTGTGTTTTTGTTTGTTGGCACTATCCACACTCTTATTGTGCACTCAGGGTACTGGTTTTGTGACGACAACGGCATGCATGATGAACATCATGCCAAATTTAATGTGAATTTTGGAGTCATGGGCCTTATGGACAGCATTTATGGGACGTATCGGCTGCCTCCCGGCGCCCGCGTCTCCAAATAAGCGCAGGAATGCTGGAAGCGTCTCCAAAAGAGCTCAAGGTTTGAAGATGTGTTTGGTGCCCGCTAGGTGTCAGCTTTGATAGGCATCCTCGCAAGTTCCATTTTCATTGAGATGCGGACAAGAGTTTCAGGCTTCCATCCCGCTTCCTCTTCACCACTCCAGCCGAGTTGCGCGCCAGCCCTTCAGAGCAATGCAGAAGTGCATCGGGTTGGAGCTGCTTGGCGAGCATTTTGTCACTGGGCGGCCTTTTCACCAAACATGTGATGTGGCAAAGATATACGGTATACATGTAACAGCTTAAAGAAACAAAGAAGTGATACAGATCAGCAGTATCACCAGGTCGTGCGTTCTAAGGGCGTCTCTTCCGCCAAGCTGGTGGTGTTTGGGGTGAACATGCGGCTTGCAGGTTCATACGGTGCACATGGACAAAGAGCTCGAAGGCGCGAAGAGAGGCGCCTGACACATGTATCGTGTGCAAGGTTGAAGCCCAAAGCAAGTGAAGCAAGTCAAGCAAGCTTCAAAGAGCATGTGAGAGCATCATGTGGCACCACATGTGAAGTGTTGTGGACAGTATTTGAGAGGCTTCCAATCAGATCAAAAGTTGACAGTTACGCAGAGAACGCTCCCACAAAGGGAGAGGGCATAGAATTTCTTGATGAACACAGTTCTTCGACATGGCTCAGGTGTCTCCAAAACGTTGGCAAATATCAAGAATCATGTGCACGATAAAGATGTCGAGGGAACCAGAAGGGCCATTTAAAGTTGACGCTTGGAGTAGCGCCATCATTTGCACCAATGTTGCACTACCAAAAAGATGTGGTCAAAGCTTTGGAGCAGGCGAAAGGCACGGATGAGAGCATGGGGCCAAGGGCTCAAGGCTCAGCTTTTCCGTCACGAAGGATCTTGGGCACTCTCCGTTCACATCTTCAGTTTGTACCAAAGCGTTCCAACGTGTTGCTGACAAGTTTACAAGCTGTTTGGAGGCCATTGCTCTTAGGTTGGAGGCCCGCTAGTGGGTTGGAGACAAAGCTATTGCTGCCACCGCTAGCCATTTGTAGTCGCCCAAAGTCCGCGTCATGGAGGTGATTATCACAGGTGCGTTTCGTGTACTCGGTACTGGTACGTTCGGTGAAAAAACAAACGCTTCAAAAGCAACTTGTCTTTGGATATTTTCGGTTTTGCATGGTTTTGCAACATGAGTCTGTCAGGCGGTCAGGGATTTCTTGGGCAAGAGCTATGCAGGCAGTCCTGTTGTGGTTGCATGAAGTGTGAGCAGTATAGCTGATGATCTCAGTACTTTGTGATCCAAACATTTCTTCCGGGTGGCTAAGAAGCTACCACCGAATGACAAGATTGTTTCATAAGGCTTTGCTTAAGCACTTTGCTTTCGTCTTATTTTTGTTTCTTAGGTATTCCATTGGTTCTGTTTTTGTGCGACACCCTGTACTCCCACTCATTTCAAGAGGACCACTCATGGCACCCGTCTGTATAAAATGGTTGATTGCTGCTCTTAGGTTGGAGGCCATCGTTTTGTTTTTCGGCCCAAACTCAGCACTCAGTCTGGCTACTCACTTGCCGAGTACCCTCCACGGAATTGACATGTCTCCCCTCACTCCGCTGTGGGCAAGACTGTGAGTACACTGGGTACATGTCTGCTGGGTACTTGCAGTAGACTGTTGCGGATTTTTTGTGACAGTAGACTGAGTAGACTGCGTCGCTTTTCGCGGCAAGTGTCGAACCCTTTCAACACGTACTTGTGTAGGCACCTATTGAAGAAAGGCGAGCTGAAGACTTCCAGTGGAGTCATGCAGGAAGTTCAAAGGCCATTTGACTTGGAGGATTCGTTTTCGACTTTATGTTTAATTGTGAAATGGACAAGGACGCTACTAGGGGCTCCTGGCCATACTACTAGGAGCAAGGACGCTACTAGGGGCCCAGAAAGATGACATCTTGGTGACATCATGGCATGATGCGAGTTATGCATGTGATGTGCTTTAGCTTTACGATGAATGTCTTATCCAGATTCTCGGCGCCGAAGACAGGATTTGTCTTTTTGACAACGTGGCGCCTGCGACCACTAGCGGAGTGAATGCTCATCCCAAGGTGAGAGAACTTGATCACAGAGACGCACCCTCTTTGAGAGTCGGTTGTTTTCTGTTTTCAGGTTGTGATCGAGACTGGAGATCTCACAAATGCAGAAACCTGCCAAAGACTCATGCGCCCAAACGCCTCTGTCTTTCACCTCGCGGGAGTCAAAGTCTCAGAGTGGCGCAGCACGACACGCGACACAGAGTAGCGTCCTTGCTCCTAGTAGCGATGCCCTTCGCTCCTAGTAGCAAGGCCAGGAGCCCCTGATAGCGTCCTTGCTCTGGCTCACAGGTGATGAGTGGCGCAGCTGAAAAAGACTTTGATCTAGGCTAGGGCGGCCTAGGGTGGTCGGGCTCCTGATTTGGTTTGAAGGTTGGAGGCCATCGCTATTAGGTTCGATTCTTTGATTCGCAAACCTTTGGAGATGCCACACAGGATCAACCAGCAAATTCCTGCTTTCCATGAAAGGTGTGCGGGTGAACCTTGATGGCACTCGAAACTTATTGGATGCGTGTCGTGCACAAGGCAAGTCTCACCTTCATTTTTGTTGAGATCGCATGCGGTCCTGTTTTTTTCCTTGCTTTTTTCCTGATCCTTTTGCGAACCTTCGAGGTGCATCTCCAGCGCCAAAGTTTATTTTCACTTCATCTCTAGCTGTCTTTGGCGAGACCTACGTGGAGCCTGGAACACCCGTAGGCGCAAAGCTGAAGCGACATCGGAAAGACCGCAGAGAGATAGCACACCTTTGCCCTGTAATTTTCTTGACCCAGTTGACCCAGTTGACCCATTTCATGTCTTCTTTTCGGAGGTCAGTCATTTTGGTCCTGCAAATTGAACGTTGTCTTTTGGACTTTTCAGGACCAAAGACGCCTTTACTTCGCCGAGACACCTTACTTCATGTCCTCACCTCATGCTAGCGATGGCCTCCACCCTAGTAGCGATGGCCTCCAACCTCATACTCTTTTGCACCCGTCATTTCCGTGCCAGCAACTTCTCAGGCGATACCGACAAGATTGTGCCAAAGAACACGTATGGCATGACAAAAGCCTGCGGCGAGCTTTTGGTGAATGATTACACCAGGACATTTGACAGAAATTATCTCCGTGTTTTGCTCTGACCCGAAGTAGACTCAACTAGACATTTGGACTCCAAAAGTAGTAGTAACAGGTGCCTTACTAGTAGTAACAAAAAGCCATTAGAAACAAGTGCCACGCTAGTAGTAACAGGTGCCGTACTAGTAGTAACAGGTGACGTGAAGATCGGTTAGATTTGAGGAAGGGCTTTGTGGATGGTCGCACAGCACGGCTCCCCACCGTGATCGTGCGGCCTGGGCTGCCAAATGCTGCAACCACCAGTTGTTACTCAGGCCGAGTAGGAAGAAAGAGAGGTCGAGAGGAGAGATTTAGCATTGGCCAAATTGACCACTGAAGAGTAGAAACAAAGGATGAAAAGGACAGCAGAAGGGTTTGAAGATCTACGTCGAAGGACCTAATAGCAATGGCCTCCACCATAGTAGCAATGGCCTCCAACCCAGAGATCCGATGACCGGAGCGGGTGACGGGGGGCAAACAGCTTGCCAGGTGTGATCCGAGAGCCGCTGCACGGCGTCGAAGCCGTGTTACCCATCGCACGGCATCTCGACAAGTTACCGGTGATACTGCGCCGATGTTTGCATGAATCGATATGTTTGGTGTTCAGCTTCTTGTTTGCTTTGACAGTGTTCATATGTAGACCGTGTTCTAACCAAAGTGTCGCTCCCGAAGCCAAGGGATTTGCCTCATCCAGTCACGAGCACCAGAGCGCTGATTGCAAACTTAGCCGCTTGCCTTTGATGTCTTGCCTTATCTTTTTTAGGCCAGGGGAGGCCAACCTACTAGCGAATGGCCTCCAACTTACGAGCGATGGCCTCCCTCAGAACCTCAGGAGTTGGACTTACCTAGCTCCTAGTGGCCATCTTGCCCCTAGTAGCGATGCCAGGAGCCCCTAGTAGCGTCCTTGCTCCTAGTAGCGATGCCCTTTGCTCCTAGTAGCGATGCCCTTTG